TTCCTCGACCGGGCACATCCTTCTGGAATCATAACAGTAATATTATTAGATTGTGGATTAGGCGGATCGATAGATTATTCACATTGTTAGTTTGCCGGTAGTGAGTAATCAATTTGGGAAAGAGCTACCACAGGCGAATTTGCGTTTCTATCGAAAGAATTATTTTTATCGGGTTTAGCATTAGCGGCTTTGTAGCGAAGCAGTTGAATAGAGCGTTAAGTAAAAATCATAAGACTGCAACCTCATCTGTATTGTTTTTCATAATGGAAAGGTAAAAACTCGTTTCCACTGTGGAAGGACTCAAGGAAGACAAGAAGAAGGTTTTCCAAATAAGTACCTAGGACGATGAAGAAAAATGGTCGATCGGTCACTGTTTTGAAATTTTTACCTGAAAATCAGTGTTTCACACCTTCTGATGGACTCGACGATTGATTAGCAGCCAAATGACGTCACTCACTGGGTAACAGAGTGCTGTAACGTACAGATAACGATTGGACCGTGAGCCCAAATGAGCACGCGAGGAAACAGATCACGAGCGGAAAGCTCAACGTACTAATCATCGAGTGAACACAACACAAATACTCCCAAACTGCCCCTACCCGGCGCGATTCCCAAGATAACTGGAAGAACTCTCCATGAGAGTAGCATAACCCCAGAACCCAGCCAGAAATAAGACGGAAAGACAGGCCTCCAGGTAAGGTATTGACTGTGGACAACTCATCTGTTCATGTACCCCTTTGGGACCGGCTAGCAGTTATCTTGAAAGTTAGCTCAAAACTACAGGGTTCTGGTAAAGAATGGGCCAACTATGGCCGGTTGTGGGAATTGAGGTTCTTTCGGGGCACGAAAATTCGGTAATTCAAATTTTATGAAAATAATTAATATAACAGAGAAAAGAAAAGTGAAGCGGTCAATTGTTTTAGGGGAAAACGTGGCTTTCTCTGTCACATGGTTCCCTAGAAAAACGCAACGAATTGTCTGTTATAACCCAGAATCTCCACTGTAGCGATGATGCAAGCATTTGTTTCAATTGGCAAGAGAATGTCAAGGTCAAGTGTGGTATCTGGGAGCGGAGTGAGGTTGGGGGTTTCAAGGCTTCAAACGCACGTTCCACGTGGTTCGGTCCGGGAAACGTTGACCTATTAGCTACTGTATAAATTGGGTCAGAAAATCAAGGTGCTCACTGAGACTAGTTTACAACGGACCGATGACCAGAATTAAAATCTTGTGACTGGGGAGTAAAACTGTCTCAATGATGAGTAGATATTATGGGGGAATTCGTCGTGCAGAGAGGAAATCAAACGTGAAGTGAAAAGCTAGAATGCGCTACTGGATAGCTGTTTCGACCTGGTTAGGTATCATCAGCAGCACTGAGCGAATCCATCGATCCATGTAACTTTTGCTACCAGCCGGGGAGAATTATTGAAATCGTACGAAGTATCTTCTTGAATTTATTTTTGATGAGACCACTTCTCAAAAGCGTGTCACCATCTTCATCATCTTATTATTTATTGCGCGGTGTTCACAGATAGTAATATTGCCGATATTAGCGAAAGTATTTTTTAGTTATGCTTCCTGAATGAGCTGATCGATGTTCCTTTGAAAGCATGGTACTCTATCAGGTTCAAACGCGACGTATTGCTTCGTCGCGTATGTCGAGATTGAACGCTAAGATTCATTTAATTCCAGTATTAGGTGTCTACCCTTCGTAAATTACGTTAACTGCTACGTGTGTTACGCAAGGGCGGTGACGGCCCTTTAGTAACATCAAATTATCACCCCGGGGATGTGTTCTAACCCCACCACCACCGCCTGACTTCTCCCACTGTGTGTTGAATGCCAACCCTTTAATTAGCCCCTTCCCCCTTCTTGAAAATTGTGCGTTTCTATACTCAATAAAAGGAAATAAAATGAAAAGAAGAAAAGAAAATTAGGTTGCCAAGGTGTGTGTGTGTGCAATGTTTGCCGAGGCAAGTGATGGTTAAAAGAAATTCGAGAGGATGTGAAAACCTTGACCAGGGTACTTGGACTTACACCCCGATTCCCCAGATCGATAGACCAGCCAGTTTTACTTGGCATGGATCGGTCGGATTCACGAATAGTTAGGGATTTCATTTTTCAGTTAGTAACAGAAAATGATCGGGCTGATTGTTCGGATGACAACTCCTTTTTGCATTCAACCATTTTTTGTGAATTTCACTTGTCAGTGAATCAATCCTCTATTGGCTCTTTACTGTGCTCCGGATGTTCTGTTTTTGCATGAGAAGCTGGGAAACACTGTCAAGCTGCTCTGACCTTGCCCAATCGCATGAGTAGTGTCAATTCGGCGAATGAACTAAAGACCGAACTCGGTGTCTCACAGGTAGGCTTATACCACTAGCTGCAATAAGCGCCAAGTATCTGTCTCACTGTGTCTGTGTAGCACAGACATCCTTGCCAGCCTATTACAGGTATCGCATTGTACACATTTTATCAGTCACCTCCCAAGGTTATGATGGTTCGGTAGGGAACATGTCGACCAATTATTTTTCATCCGACGTAATTCACCGTCTAGTCTGCGCGGGGTTGGGGGTTCGATAACGCGCACACTTATTACCTACACCCGGTTCTGATTCGAATCACAGTTTTAGTTTTTGCATTGCAAATGTTAAGGGGGCTTCTCAGTAGCGTGCTTCTATCTGTCCATTGTGCACGAAAAACCCTCCTCCTATTTGTAACAACAGAACAAAATAATTCAACGGGAACTACACATCGGTGCCCTGATTTGACGCGGTTCTTTCAGTTTGTGCAACCATTAAGTGCCCCCCCTACCGTTTCATTATCTGCCTTTCGACATCCAATCTGATCAAGCGAAGAAAA